AAGCTAAAGAACTCATAAGTATGACACATGGACATGAACTAAAGGGGGGAAACGTGGGTGGGAGAGGGGGTACAGGGTGCAGGGGAGAGAAGGGGGGTAGTGGGACAACTGTAATAGCGTAATCAATAAAATATATTAAAAAAAAATAGAAACAGTAAAGTAAAAGCTGACTCACATGTGGGTGTACTGGTTGTTCTCTGTGTCCCCACAGGCTCACCAAGCACTCACCTTCCTACACTGCCCAGAAGTGACCTGTCCCTTGTGGCTGGGGCCAGACCACTCGTGTTGTACACTCATCCCTTCACGCTGATCACAGCCATTCCAATCCCCTCCTGCATGGGTCCTACAGATGCCTCAATTTCTGTTTCCACCTAGAGGCTGTCCTGAGTTCCAGACTCTGCACATGGACAACAGGGTTCCTCCCAACATTAAAAACTGTGAGATCTTATACAAAAATCTCATTAAAAAGGGGGAAGGTCCAGCTGGACACAGCCCTCCATCATAGGAGGCAACAAAGATAGGAGTGGTAAGTACCTGTCCCTCTACCCCCATTTAAGGCCCCACTGGCCTCACAACATGTGAGTGTGAGGTCCCTCCCCTCAGTCCTGAGACCCAGGTGTCAGACTCTATGCTGGCACCTCCTAATGGATGCCCCCACCCAGACCCCCTTTCTCAGCTCTACTGAGAAATAAACCAAGGCCTACAGGGCATCCTTCTCCAGTGTCCAAACCTAACGCATTAGATGCAAACCAGAATCTAGGAACCTCCAGTCCCTGATAATAGAAACAAGACCTATCCAGGTAACTTAGTAAAATAAGACAGATCACTATGACCTATACCATAGGATTCCACTCCTGTGAGGCAAATAGAACTGTCAAAGTGACAGAGGCAGAAAGTAGGACAAGGGTGCCAGAAACAGGGGTGGGGGATGTGAAGCTGCTCATTAGAGGAGACAGACTGTCAGCTGGAGATGAAGAAGCATCCTGAGGGTGGACGGTGGTGATGGTTGAACAAGAATGTGACTGTATATCAAGCCATGGAACTGTGCATGTAACAATCGTTAAATGGTCAGAAACAAAATAGTTAAACAGTTCATTGAATCTTATGTTTGTTTTGCAACCATTAAAAAAAAATAAATGTTTTGCCCTGGCTGGTGTGGCTCAGTGGACTGAATGTCGGCCTGCAAACCAAAAGGTCGCCAGTTCTATTCCCAGTCAGGGTAAATGCCTGGGTTCTGATCCAGGTGCCCTGTCTGGGGCTTGTGAGAGATGATTGATCTATGTATCTCTCACTTATTGATGTTTCTCTCACTGTTTCTCCCTGCCTTCCTACCTCTCTAAAAATAAATAAATAAAATCTTTAAAGAAAATAAAAAAATTTTTCTATCATTTAAAAAGAAAAATATTTACTAGTCATCCTTAACTCACCTTTTCCCTTACACCATTTGGACTGTTAAGAAATGGCACCACATAGAAGAAAGAACACCTTGAACTGGACCAGACCGACGCAACACCCCTGCTGCCAATGCAGCAGCCTCTCCCACTCTCTACCACCCACTGTCTACTCCATGGAAAGAGGAGCTCAGGTTGGACCAAACCCTCCAGCACCTTCCCAGTACCCTGGGGACCATAGGCAACGCCTTCCCACTCTTCTGAATCCTCTACACCATCCAGCCCACTTGTCCTTGTTTCCCTTTGGTTTCCTTGTCCATGGCCAATGTTTCCTGCCTCAGAGCCTTTGCACCTGTCTTTCCCCCCAGCCTTCCCATGGGCGCTCATCCTTAAACCCTACTGAGCCTTTGTCCCCCACAGGGAGGCCTTCTCTGTCCACCCTGCTGTGGAAAGGAAGCTCCCACCTGCTGTTCTCTCGCCTGCATCACTGTGAGTGACCATGACAGTGCTTTTCCTCCTACACACTGTCAGCTCCTGCAGTGGGAGGTGAGCTCCGTGAAGGCAAGAGCCTTGCTGGTCCCCAGCTCACAGTTTTTAGGACATGGAAGGCACCTGATAAACCTTCACTGAGTGTCGGCCATGTGCTGGCATGGTATAGAGTAGCCCACACCACACGTGACTGTGAGTTGCTAGCAAGTTTACACCCAAATTACTGATGCTGAAACCGAGGCTTTGAGAACTGAGCCACAGCCAAAATGTCACCCAGCAAATCTGATCATGTGAACAAATCCCTGGGTCACTATCTAGCCCCTGTACCCATCTTATCCTGGAGGAAAGGATTTGAGAAGTATGCAAGGTAGAAAGATCTTGGATTCATGGCCTGAGGTGTGGGGGTAATGCCGGATGTCAGAGCAGGTGGTGGATTGGGACATGGAGGCTGAGGGTAACTTTCCAGGGGGAAGAGGGAAAGAGGGTGACAGTGGGTATGTTTGGGGCCCGTGGGTCTGAGATACACCAGGGATAGAACTGGGCTGCGGCTGCACAGATTGGAGAGAGGAGTCTTGGGTGTGAACATGCTCAGAAACACAATCCCCAAAGGAAGTCATTGAAAAACTGGACTTCATCAAATTACAAACTTCTCAGCAACAAACAGTGCTGGGGCATCTGGGTACGCACATTCAAAAATGGTGATGACATGTGGTGATCAAAGGTGATGTGACTTTGGGTGGTGGGCACACAATGTAACAGACACATCATTTATCACAGAAATGTACACTTGAGACCTGTATGATCCTATTAGCCAATGTCACCACAATAAATTTAATTTAAAATAAAAACAGTGACATTAGCCGCTTTTTACACCATTCACAACAATTAACTCAAAGTTAACCAAAGACCTAAATAAACGGCTAACATTCTAAAACTTGTAGACAAAACAGGAGGAAGCCTTCATGGCTTTTAGTCAGGCAACAGTGCGTCAAATATAACACCAAAAGTGCATGTAGCAACAAAATAAATTGGACTCCATCAATATTCAAAAAAGGTGACATTTCTAATGATGCTATCTAGGAAAGAGAAAAAAACTGCCCACAGAGTGAAAGCAATAGTTGGAAAACACATACCTGATAAAAGACTTAGAGAAAGAATTAACATCAAAAGAATATGTACAGAACTTTCAGAACCGAATGATAATGAAGCAAACAACCCAAGTGAAAAAAAAGGCAAAAGACTTGAACCAGACATGTCACCAAAGAGAGTACACTGGTGCCAAATAGGCACCTGAAAAAAGTTCTCAGTATCATATTAAAGGTGGAATGTGGTAAGACTGCACACCAGTGAGAATGGCTACAATGAGAGACACTGAAGTTGTTCAGTTTGACAAGCACATGAATCAATGCCATACCTGGTTCGTGGTGGTGGAATTAAAAAATGAGACAGCTGCTTTGGAAAAAAGTTTGGCAGTTTCTGAAAAAGTGAAATGTGCACCTATGTATGACCCAACCATTCTCAACAGCAGGAACATCGTGTGTCTACAGAAAATGACCAGAACTGAAAGCAACTGATGTGTTTATTGTCAAGTGAATGGATAAACACACTGTAGTCTCTCCATGAAGTAGAGTACTGTTCAACAATAAAAAGAAGTCAGCTCCTGCCCTCACCATGTGGCTCAGCAGGTCTGAGCATCCAGAGTACTGAGAGACGGTAGGTTAGATCCCAGGTCGAAGTCTGTGCAGGAAGCAAGGATTGATGTTTCTCATTCTCTATCTCACTATCAAATCAATAAACGTATCTTTGGGTGAGGATTTAAAAATAAAAAAAGAAAGAAAGAAAAGAAAAAACACAAGGGAACAATTGATACATACAGACTACATGGGTGAACCTCAAAAAGAAAATGATGCCGAGTGTAAGAAGTCAGATAAAAAAAAACAAAGAGTACGTACCGTATGATTCCATATATATAAAATCCTAGAATAGGCAAACTAAACCACAGTGGTGAATGGGGGACTCAGGGTAGGGGAAAGGAAAGAAAAACATCTTGGCCTAATGGACCTGTCTGCATCATGACAATTTCCCAGCTGGATACAAATGTCAAAATGCATCAAATTGTTCCCTTTAACTAGGTGCAGTAATGGTAGGTCAGTTAAACCTCCACCAAAGCTGTTAAAGGAATGGGATTGTACACTAATTCTGAAAGTTAGAGGAACAATATTATTTAGGGCATTTCTCTGTGTCAGTGACTACAAAGTTTGCTCATCTTTGAAGAGAGCTGTGATTTCTATTGTATTGCTACATCCTGATTTGTTTGGTCAGTCTTGTAGGTGGGCATCTCAGGCCATTTCTCCAGATTTTTCTTCCTTTGAAAAAACTCTGCATGCTTAATTAAATGATTTATTTTAGAAATGAAATCATTTGAAGTTTGGTTGGTAGCTCCAAAATGTCTCCCAAAATAGCTGTCAATTCAGGATCCTAAAATGAGGACACCTTTCCCTACATTTTTATACTACATGCTTGTCTTACTCTTTTATTTCATGTCTCACCAGAGTATATGCTTCCAGAGGGAGGAAGTAAATGGGGAGGGAGACAGGGAGAAAGAAAGACTGATCAGTTGCCTTCTGTATGTGCCCTGCCAGGGTTCAAAGGGACAAGCAAGATATGTACCCTGACAGAGAACTGAGTCCCCAGTCTTTGGGTGTATGGGAGGACACTCCAAACAACTCAGCCACAAGTGGCCAGGGCTGGTATCCTTTTTCATGTCTCTGTACCTTATGGTTGGTCATTCTTTGACTAATAGTAATGTTCAAAAATATTTTGTAATGTGTACCTCCATGCATTTCTACATCTGTGAACTGTCTGCTCATCAGCTTGGTACATCTTTCTATTCTTCTTTCAGTTCTTTTCTCATTTAATCCTAGGAGCTCTTTCTATATTCATAATCCTGACTGTTATACATGCAGTAAACACTCTTCCCAACTGCATCACCTAATAAGTTTATTTTTAGCTTCCAGTAATTTGAACGTCATACATGTAAGATATGTCTACCATTTTATTTCTGTGTTATCCTGAAGTGCCAGGCAGGTGGTGAGTAACACTGTAAGGCTGTCCCCTTACCCAGGGAGATCAAGTTCCAGTAGACCTCCATCATCACGTCCCTGTACAGGTCCTTCTGTGCAGGCTTCAGCTGCTGCCATTCCTCCTGGGTGAAGTCCACAGTCACATCCCTGAATGCCACTGACCCCTGTAAGAGGAAGCGCACACCACTCAGCACAGGACCCTTTTCTCAGAGGTTAGGAGACGTGGCCCAAAAGGCAAGGGGACCAGGAAGGCACACAGGATGCACCAAACATGGTGTTAATAATGTGCGGAGCTCTGAAGGGCCTGTTCACGCAGTGTTCTCGATGGGTAAGTCACTGGATGGTCACTGGATGGTATAGTTTATTTGGACGGACAAATAAACTATAGAGGTATTTGCCAGGAAGACAAACAACCCACTTACACAATGGGTAAAGGATCCATGGGCTTGAACTAAGGTGGAGGAAATTGCTGGAGGGAAAAGGGGTACCAGACACAGAAGGTCAAAGGGGTAAATATTGAGACGACTGTAATAGCATAATCAATAAAATATAAAAAAATGATAAAGGAAATCCTACTTCAATATTAAAAGAAAAAACAGAAGAGGAAAAAAAAAGAAACAATCACAAGGACTCTGGATAGACACTTCTCCAATAAGGACATACGGATGGCCAACAGACATATTAAAAATACTCAATATCATGACAGAGCTGCAAAGTGAAACCATGATGTGATATCACCTCACACCTGCTACACGGAAACCTCTATAACTGACCCACAATTTGGTCAATACCATCGTGACAAGTGCCTGAGCAGTGGCAGCTCTAGGGGGTGTCTGGGAGCTGGAAGGTATGGTCTATGGCTGAATTTTTGGGGGGACAATCTGGGTGGGGGCAAGTGGGTCAATATCTGAGGCTTAAATGGTACATGGGAGCACTGAGAATGCAATGCTATGACCCCATGTAACAAATGAATGTGGCTCAGTACTTTGTGGATGAAAAAATGACACAATGACAATGTCACCACAGCAATAATGACATCTGTCAATCACTAGGCAATTGCTCTGCACCAGATATTACTCTAAGCCATGTTACAGGTTCAGTTTTGTGTTCCTGTGTTGAAGTGCCTACTCTCAGTACCTTGGGATGGGACCTGATTGGGAACAGGGTCACTGCAGGTGTACTGAGTTAAGATGAGGTCACACTGGAGAAGGGTGGCCCCTAAGGCCATACAACTGATGTCCTTTTAAAAAGGAGAAAGTTGGACAGAGATATGCAAGCAGGGACACACCATGTGAGGATGGGAGTTATCTTGCCATGAGCCAGAGGACCAGAAGCTGAAGGTGACAACTGAACAGACCCTCTACCGGTGCCTTCAGAGGAGGTATCGCCCTGCTGATGCCTTGGTCTTCAACTTCTGGGCCCCAGAACTGTGAGAATAGAATCCTTTTGTTCAAGGATCCCAATCTGTGGTGCTTTGATACAGCAGCCCCACATCAAGCTGAGTGACATATATATCTGCCAGACATGGTGTCAATAACTGACTGCCATGGACCACGAATCACGGGTCACCCTCCACAAGTGGAGAACTTACTTGCAAACTACCACCAGGTGATGACAGAGCAGTACGAGGCAGTCAGTGTTTAATAGTGTGAGCTCATGAGACCATGACCAAGTCTAAGCATTGCCCCACACACTGGCTGTAATGCCTCTGACAACTGTCTTAACCTCTCTGAGCCCCTTTGTTCAATGGACCCCCTAGTAGCAACACCCCCCTCTGTGGCTGTTACGAGGTTAAATGAGGTCACATATGTGTGATTCCACAGTGTGGTATGGCTGTAGGAAGTCTCAAAAATGGCAACTAGTGGTCTTATCATTTGATTAATTGGACATTTCATAAACCCCTTATATATGTCCCTTATCATTAATACTTAATTTATATAATTATTTGATTCTTTGCCCCATCCTTCCTTTGGGAAAGCCCAGGAGATAATTTCTTTCTTTTGTAATCCTTTTCCAAAGATGTTTATTAATTTGAGAAGAGAAAGAGGGAGAGAGGGAAACACTGACAAGAGAAACATCAATCAACTGGCTGTCCAATCTGCCCTGAGCAGGGGATCAAACCCACAACTTTTTGTGCACAGGACGATGCTCCAACCACCAACATCACATGGCTAAAGCAATAATTTTGTTTTTAAAAAAACACTTTATTGAGGTATGACTGGTATACTGGTATGTATTAGAGCTATACAACTTGATAAATTTGGAAGTATTGGATTGGCAAAAAAAAGTTACATTTTCTGTACAATGGCTCTAATAGTGTTTAATTGTCTTTAACTTCATTTGAAACAATTTTGTTAGATTGTACCATGAGAGCTGTCACATCTGCATGCATTTGATAAAAAAACTTATCAAAAAGGGTAAATTTTTATGCTGCCACTTTAATAATGATGATGGAAGAACATATGCAACATTTTCGGTGCATTATGCTTTATTATTTCAATAAAGGTAAAAATGCAACTGAAATGCACAAAAGATTTGTACGGTGTATGAAAAGGTGCTGTAACTGATGAAACATGTCAAAACTGATTTGCGAAGTTCTTGGTACTATTGACATTTTGCCCAAATAATTCTTCGCTGTGGGGCTGTCTTATGCATTGGAAGACAGGTAGCAGCACACCTGGCCTCTACCCACTAGAAGCCAATTGCGGGAGATAGCCGACATACTCAAAGTATCCAAGTCAATAAAGACACTGGTGAAAATGAAAAATGTGTCTTTACCACTTCTCGAAGTTTCCTCCTGTACCTCTTTACTGTTGTACTCGTAAGATGTTAATTTTTTAAATGTAACTCTTGCTGAAAGTCATCCCTAAGACTCCCCAGCTGAATGAATGAACTCAATGAAATTTTTACTGAACAGTCTCCCTGTACCAAGCCCTGGCTGGGACAGACTGACAACCAGAGATGGTCTTGGGCTTCTGGGAGCCCATAATGTACTTCACAAAGATGTGGGTGGTAAGACAGAGGGTCCTCCACCTCAGAGGGATTGGAAGATTCCCGCAGAAATGGGGCTTTCCTCCAAGTGGTCCAAAGTCCTGAGTGCTCTGTGGTTACATGACTCAGGCCACTCACTCCAGAGCTCCATCTGTTTTTGATTCTTTCTAATGGCACAAACCACTTCACACAAGAAAAACCTCACCCAGTTCCAAAGAGCTGAAATCAGCCTCTATTTTTTTTTAGTCATCATTTGAGGATATATTTATTGATTTTAGAGGGAAAGGAAGGCAAGGTCAGAGAAGAGACAGAGACATCGATCTGTTTGCATCATGCACATGCCCAAACCAGGGACTGAACCATCCAGCTTTTGGTGTAAGGGACAATGCTACAACCAACTGAGCAACACAGCTAGGACAGGTTCTTTTTTTAGAAATATCAGAATGTAATCACGCTAAAAAGAGATTAAGAAAAAGAAACTGAACACCCAAATCCCAACCACAGGGAAATGACCATCAGGAATCCTAAGAAGGAAACCAAGGCAACCACCACAGAGAAGTTAACAGTGGAGATATCATGGTGCAGCCACATTGGAAAAGTCAGATTGTTCCTTAAATAGTTAAATATACTTATATCAAAGGACTCATAATTTCTACTCCTGAAGAGAAATGACAGCCTGAAACAAACAAAAAAAAAACTGTACATGAACGTTTACAGCAAAATTACTAATAACAACCAAAAAGTGGAAACAACCCAAATGTTACCACCTGATAAATGCATACATACAGGGTCTACCTGTACAATGGAATAGCATACAGCCATGAAAAGGACACCTATTACAACTTAGAACATCATCAAACACATCATGCTCAGGGAAAGCAGCCAGATAGAAAAACCACATGTTGTGTGACTCCACTGATAAGAAACGTCCAGTCCTGGATGGCTGATTGGGCTCACTGGAGCTTTGTCTGTAAAAACAAAGGTTGAGGGTACAGTCCCTGATTGGGGCACATATGGGAGGCAATCGATCGATGTTTCTTTCACATATGGATGTTTTTCCCCTTCATTTCTCCCTCCATTACCTTCTCCATAAAAACAAATAAAATCTTAATAGAATAAAAACCTAGAAATACTAGGATTCCTGAGGATCAGCAAAGTACAGTATAGGATAATTTGTCTGCCTGCATAAATGGTGAATAAATATTTTCTTCCTTTTAAAAAAAGATTTTATTTATTTTTAGAGAAAGGGAAAGGAGAGAGAAAGAGAGGGACAGAAATATCAATGTGTGGTTGCTTCTCGAGTGCTCCCTACTGGAAACATGGCCCACAACCCAGGCATGTGCCCTGACTAGAAATCGAACTGGGAGCCCTTAGGTTTGCAGGCTGGCACTCAGTCCACAGAACCACACCAGCCAGGGCCGAATAATTATTTTTTACAAAACAAGCCTCACTAATACCACCAACAATGCTACATAGAAATACATCACGTGACATCAGTTGTCACCACAAGCATAGTGTATACCACTTGTAATTTTCATTCAATGAGTGGAATAAGCACCAAACAATGGCCAACGGGAAACATTAGCAGCCCCTGCTGCATGGTAGTGGGAGAATAAACTGTCTCAACCTGTAAATATGAAGACTCTTTCAGGCTTTAAAAATACCCTCCTCAAGATTCTCTGCAAGGATACACCCATAATGAAAACATAAAGCCCTGGCTGGTGTGTCTTTGCAGATTGAGCACCGGCCTGTGAAACAAAGGTCTCCTGTTCAATCCCCAGTCAGGATACATGTCTGGATTGTGACCCGGGTCCCAAATAGGGTGTGCAAGACGCAACCCATCGATGTCTGTAGCCTACTACAATGTTTCTCTCCCTTTAGTTCTCCCTCCCTTACACTCTCACTAAAAAATAAATAAAATCCTTACGTAGTTGCTCCACTATCCATAATTTTTAAAAAAAGAAAGAGAAGAAAAATCATTCAAAATTTTGGACAAAGATTATTGCCCACTCCTGGCCGATGGCTCAGTTCAAGGAGCATTGTGCCATACATCAAAAGGTAACGGGTATGACCCAGGGTGTGGTTGCATGCTGGAAGCAACGAATGGATGTTTCTCTCTCACATCTGTATTTCTCTCTCTCACATCTGTATTTCTCTCTCTCTTTCTCTTATTCTACCCCTAAAACTCAAAGAAAATATCTTTAATAAACATAAAAGATTCATGCCTAGATATATATGTGTGTATAAAAATAAAAAAATATATGCATATTTATAATTTATTGATTTGAGAGACAGAAAGAGATATTGTTCCACTTATTGATGAATTCATTTAGTGCTTCTTTGTGCTGTGATCAGGGATCGAACCCACACCCTTGGCATATCAAGATGGTTCTGTAACTAACAGAGCTACATATGTATATATTTTTTTGTAATGTGCATCTTTCATAGAAGGAAATTTAGAGAAAAATACCACAAATAGCCACTCACTAAAATGTCATAAAACATCACGATGACAGCCAGGGACACTCACAGGTCCTTCACCAGAGGCATCCTTCTCCCATTCTCCTCTAGTCCCCTGGGCATTTAATGCTCCCTGTCTACTTGTGAAGTTCCCTCACAAGTTCCCTCCTCCTACTTCTGAAGTTCCCTCCTCCAGCACATCCTACGAAGGACCTCTGTAACACTCATTCAATATGTTTAAGCTGCAACTTCTCAGGTGCCCAGTGGTGTCTCCTGAGAGCTGTCAGGGTAGGACAGCTCACTCCTGAGTCATCCTGACACAGTGGTTAATAAACTGTAAGGACAGTACTCTCCCAACTCAGGGTAGACAGGACCCTAGGAGAGAAGGATAGGGGCTTGGGGCCTGAAGGGGAGTGGGCCAGCCATGGGTCATCCCTCCCACAAAGCCTGACCCTAAGGAGGGAGGAGCCAGAGGGTGACAAGACTCACCAGAACTTTCTTGTGTTGCAGCTGGGTGGCCATCCTTCCACTGACCATGATGACCCAGGCATGGGCATGCTGTACACAGAGAAAGAAAGAAAAAGGCACAGTGAGAAATCAGGTGAAGGGGTGACCCCAATGCAGACATGACACACCCAGCCACTACAAGACCAGCAAACAAGGACAGGCACACATGTTAATAGTGAATGCATGCAGGGGGCCTATGGCATCTTACATCCTGGACTAACATCCCTGATTTAATCCTCCTGACATCCTGCAATGTGGGAGTACTTTCTAGGAACCCCATTTCACAGATGAGGAAACTGAGGTCCAGAAAGATAAGCCATATGCCCAAGAAGGTAAGGGTGGTATTAAGGTTAGGCTGAGTACATTCGGGTCCATGCAATTGGTGCACACATCACACCAATACACTGTCACTCCTCCAACACACACACGCTTGTGCACACAACCAGTCCAACAGTCTCAAGGGAGAAACGGGATCCTCTGCCCCCTCCCCACTGGCTCTGACTTACTTAGAAGGCAGAGTGGGCCCAGGTCAGCTGACACCAGTAGACACTCGTGAAAATATTATCATTTATTTTGGTATTATAAGAGAATATGCAAATCTAATCCAGACTGGACTGTTTATGTCCTTACAGCAATGCAAACACTATTCCAATTTTACTTTATTTAAAAGGAGGCCAGGAAGGCACAGAGGCCCTGAAAATAGCTATGCAGCGGGCTGGTGACCACTGAACCTAGAGTAGCCATAGATATGTGGCTGCAGAGCCAGGGGTGGCAGCTGCTCCAGCTCCTCTTCTGTCCTAGCTTTCTGACATTTCCTGCCATACATTGTTTCTAAGGGGAAATAAGAATTTTCCAGTGTGGGGTGTTTAGGGTGGTGGCTCTGGTACCTGGATGCCTAGGTGTGGAGTTGGGTGATTCACTTACAGTCTCTGAGCCTCATTTTCCCCATCTGCAAAATGGGGATGGTCAGGGTCCCTACATAGAGTCACCGGGAGGCCTGTATAATGCCCAGAATGATACCCTGAGCACCCAACAAATTCCTTGAACAATCCACTACAGTCAGCATGTGGTAGGTCTCTGAGCCTCTTTCTTGACCTCACACCTGGCTACCACACACGTTCCGTCCTCCCAGGGCTAGGGTAAGCACTGAGGGGAGGAAGCAGATGGGCCTGGGCTCCCCCAGGGAGAAAGCTCTGCCAGGCCCACCTGTCCAGCAGGGCCGTCTTCTCCACGGTCTAGATAGGGCACCCATGACGCGCACAAACATACACATCTGCCATGCCCAGAGACAGAGGCCAGGTGCACAGAGACGTGGGGAAGGCTCGGACAGAACAGGAGCACCCCCACACGCACAGACACTCACATCAGAAACACAGGCAGGCTCACAGGAAGAGACCAGACACAGGTGGACACCCGGATGGAACCCTCACGGGGAGACACCGCCCACGGAAATACAGGCGGACATGCACACGGATATGGACACTGAAGGCACTGCAGAGGCCAAGACAGGCAGCCGACACACACACATGAGCAAAGACGAAAAACTGCAGCGTCCCGGACACACGTGGTATTACAACGAGACACAAAGAGACCTCCCGGGAGTCTCACTTCAACACAAATTCATACACACAGCCACAGGCATCACCTTCAACCCCACGACCCCGACCTGGTCCCCACTCAGTGGCCTCACGCCTTAGCCTAGTCCCCGCTAAGTCCACGCAACTGCCTCACGAATTTGAGGAGCGTCAAATAGGACCCACCGTTATCACTGCGCCTGCGCAGAACTACTTACTACATTTCCCAGAACCCCGCGCGTGGACTTCACGTCATAATCTGGCTCTCCTCAAGAGTGCGAGAGGCTGAGCTGACAGACCCGAGCCTGAGGGGCGGTCCAGAGGCTCCTTGTCCCAGAAGCCCTTGCGGCACAAGGGCGAGATGTTTGGGTTCCCGAGAGATCCGTGGGGTCAGAGACGATAAACCCAGTGGATCGAGGAGTGGAAGAAAAGGTATGGAGCAGGACGAGTCCAGGGACGAGCGGGGTGTGGAGAGGGTGGGTGGGACGAAAGCGAGACAGCAGTGCGTTGCAGTACGCCGGAGGAACAGGGACTCAGCCCCATGGAGGGGAAGAAATTGAGGCGTGGGTGAAAGTAGTAAAGGACGCTGTAGCCCCTCTTACAGACCTCCATCGTCCAACGAGGGGTACTGATAGTCATGATAATTTGCAGAAAATTTGTAGCCCTGGCTGGTGTATAGACTACTAGCCTGCGAACTGAAGGGTCACTGGTTCCATTCGTAGTCACCGCACATCGCCACCTTGTGGGCTAGCTTCCAGGTGGGGGGTGCGTGAAAGGCAACCACACATTGGTGTTTCTCTCCTCCTCTTCTTCCCTTCCCCTCTTTCTAAACCAGTTTCAGGTATACGAACGCCCGATAGACTTATTCCACTCATTAAAAGATTCATTGGTTTTTTCTTGTAGGCACCTGACCAGTGATTAAACTGCAACCTTGCCATACGCGAGCAATGCTTCACTAACTGAACCACCAGTAGGGGCTCAGTTTCAGGCCAAGTGGGTAAACACACTGTGCTGTCTGTCCCACTGGAACACTTCAGTAAATCAGCACTGTACAGAAGTGGGAGACTAAGTATTGATCACCAGCAGCTTGTACCCTTTTGGAGACGAGCAGGAGGACACTAGGTCACAGGGCCCAGTCAGCAGCCGTTTACCCAGGTTCATAGAATCATATCAAATAACAACCTGTACAAAATAGTTAATAGTTTCCCATATATCAATAAATGCTTTATGTATTGTTTTATTGTTCACAGAGTACCATTCTTATATTGTTTGCTATTTATTATTGGTAATAGGTCGCTATCAACATCAATAATGAGATATTAAGTACACCATGACCTAGGCTGTGGGTGAGGCACAGACAAGATAATGCCCCTGCCTGACTGAAGGCACTTTATTTTCACAGGAATTCTGGTTGCGCGGGGCAGGGAAGGGGGGGGGGGGTGGTCAGGACAATCTGTCATGTGAGAGAGGATTTTTCTCCTGTAACAAATAGCCCTGCAGGGAGGGGACTAAAAGGGTGGGTTTCAGCAGAACAGCCACTTTCCCCATCTCTGCTACTGAAGGTCTGGGCCCTGCCACCTGGTCTGACCATTCCCAAGCCAAGAATGCCAGGCTGGGAGGGGCAGATGGCTTCATACCTTGGGCAGGCTTGCTGGGTTCCTGGGTTCCTGGGGCTCCTGGCGGGTATTTGGATCCCCTCCCCCTAAGCGTTCACACTTATTTTGGTAGGATAACTTGTACATGTACCTATTGCACCTTATGATTGTTTAAAATGACATTGGTCTCCTTTAATGTAAACTTCTATTTAAAAAAAAATTAACAGACCCTTAAGAGAAACTATGCCTTCTGATGCAATTATTATTAATTCAGATGCCAAGAAAAATGTTTCTTCCCCTCATACAAAACTTGGCACCTTCTGCTGTTGCAGGGAACCTGGGGGCTGGGTGTGGGGTAAATGAGGACAGGCACAGATGTGACAACCTGACCTCTAGACAAGATCCAGGCACTTGTCACAAAGTAACAATGCCCCCATGGACCCACTCCCACGCCTTCCTTTCTCTTTCCTCACCTCTGTTTTACTCTACAGGAGATGAAGACCAGAGACACAGTGCCACTAGCCACCCTCCCAGATACTGTACCTGTAGGGAGGCTTGCTTTGCACCAGGTCCTGCAGCTGCTGGGGAAGCAAATGTTGAGAATTCCGTGGCCTGTCCTCACCACCCATATTCCTAAGACAAGTCTGGTCAGGATTTCTCTTGCATCCCACCCGTGGGCTCCAATATCAAGTCTGGTGCTGGCCCATGGGCTCAGGACCTACCAGTCAGGTATGGATTCTAAGATCCCCCAATTCCCTGCTATGTGTCACGTGAGGTAGAAATTCCTGCTGAACGTTTTCCTGCACTTGCCACCCTGGTAGGGCTTGTCTTCCACACGATCCTCCTGTGGATTGGGGGGGTGGTGCAGGGGAAGTTCCTGATGAAGGCTTTCCTGCACTGGCTGCACTTAAAAACTTCTCCACAGGGGGACTGGGCAGGATATTCTGCAGGGATGAGTGTGTATTGAAGTCCTTCTCTCAGATGGAGCACTGGCAGCGCTACTACCTGGGGCTGGTGCTTGTGCTGCCTGAAAAGAGTTCTTGTGAACTGCCTTGTCGCACTCCTCTCACATGCATGTCTTCTCCTTGCTATGCGTCCTTTGATGCACAATCAGGTTCGATTTTTGGCTGAAGGCCTTGCTGCAGACACCGCACGTGTACGGCTTCTCCCCACTGTGTGTCCTCTGATGCACATAGAGGCTCCATTTCTGGCTGAAGGCTTTGCTGCAGTCCCCACAGGAGTATGGCTTCTGCCCAGTGTGTGTCATCTCATGCAGGATGAGGTACCTTCTCCGACTGAAGGCCTTGTCGCAGTCACTGCACGTGTAAGGCTTCTCCCCAGTGTGCATCCTCTGATGCACCATGAGGCTGCCATTCGCAGTGAAAGCCTTGCCACAGTCCCCGCACACATATGGCTTCTTCCCAGTGTGTGTACCCTCATGCAGTAGGAGGTACTTTTTCTTCCTGAAGCCCTTGCCACAATCCTCACACACATATGGCTTCTCTCTGGTGTGTGTCCTTTGATGGGCATACTGAGTCGATTTCCTGCTGAAGACTTTGCCGCAGTCCCCGCACACGTATGGCTTCTCTCCAGTGTGCAACCTCTGATGCTCGATGAGGTGCCTATTCTCTCTGAAGGCCTTACCACAGACCCTGCACACATAAGGCTTCTCCCCAGTGTGTGTCCTTTGATGCACACATAGGTTTGATTTCTGTGTGAAGGCCTTACCACAATCCCCACATGAATATGGCTTCTCCCCGGTGTGCATCTGCTGATGCAAATTGAGGCTTGATTTCTTACTGAATGCTTTCCCACAGTCCACACACACATATGGCTTCTCCCCAGTGTGTGTCCTCTCATGCTGGACAAGGTACTTTCTCTTCCTGAAGGCCTTGCCACAATCCCCACACATGTACTGCATCTCCCCGGAGTGCATGCTCAGATGCTTGATGAAGTGACTATTCCATCTGAATGCCTTGCCGCACTCCCTGCACACATATGGCTTCTCCCTGGTGTGCGTCCTCTGGTGTAGGATGAGGTTATCCTCCTGGCTAAAGGACTTGCTGCACACCCCACACATATATGGCTTCTCCCCAGTGTGGATTTGTTGGTGTTTCCCCAGGGATGAACTATAGCTGAAACCCTTGTCACAGTGTCCGCACTTGTATGTCTTCTCTGCACAAAGTTGGGAGGGAGGACTGAGGCTGGAAGTACCTGAGTTCTTCCCACATATGGTGAATGGGTGCATCCCCACTCCTCTTGGTGAGGCTGACATGGGGCTCTGGTGGATGAATGCTTTAAATGCACAACATTCAGTGGCTAACACTTGGGACATGTCCAAATGCTCCATACAGATCCCTGTGCTCCTCTGTAGATGCCCCACCCTGTCTCCCTGTATCCCTGCTTTTCCACAGGCATAATCCTGGGCTCCATTCCTCATAAGTCCTTCCACCACCACAATGGATGTTCTGTCTTCCCAAGAGTCCTTCTGTGGGTCAGGTTCATTCACGTCCCCTTCAGTCTCCAAGTCTGAGGGGAGGGGAAAGAGATAACAACACACATGCAGTTAACAACACTGGGAGGGAGGATGTCCCCAAGATACCACAACGTGCAGCTTCAGAGTAGGAGACAGTCTGTCATGGGCACAGAGGGAGAAGAAAAGCTGTGATCTGAGACAGTGAGTTGTCGGGAGGTGAGCAGAGAGAGAGAAAGGCCTGATTGGGAGTGGGTACAAAGGCAGCCAGCACAGATCAGTGCTGGGAGGAAACCCTGAAGAGACAGAAGAAGAAAACAGGCCTGGAGGAGCACATCAAATAATCCCACACCCCCATGGAGGGTTCACTGCACCTGGCTCCTTTCTTCCAGGTCCTGTCCTGCATGTCTGCAAAGACCTGTGCTTCCCAAAATATTGCCTGTCATTACTAACGATAAAATAAGAGCTGATTCCCTGTGCCTGTAGTGCTTGTGCTCTGCCTCCCCACATGCCACTGAAGCTCCCAAATTCCTACACTGCCCAGGAGTGGCCTTGCCCTTGGGCTGGCTCCTCACACCTCCCCTGAGCACACTAATTCCTCCCTGGTGACCAAGCGCTTCAAGCATGTTGTGCCTCATCCCATGGGATCCTCTATTTCTGTTTAAAGCCTAGGGGGCTGCCCTAAGTCCAGACTCTGCATATGCTCTTTAAAGTTCATCCAAACACTTAGAAACTGTGAGATCTTACACAAAAATCACATTAAAAAGGGGAAGATGCTGCTATATGTAGCCCTCCTTCTATGGTGGCAACAAGGAACGCAGGAGTGGTAAGCAGCTGCCTCCCTACCCCATTGAAGACATCACTGGATACATACATGCAGGGACTGATACCCATCCCTTGGGTCTACAACTGGAACCAATCCTAATATTCATTATCAAGTGAAGTATGCCAAAAGTAGAATATTATTCAGCAATAAAAAGAAGTCAGCTATTGCACTGAATGCCTAGCTCCATGGTTAGAGCTCTGTGGAGTGCACAAAGACTGCAGGTTGGATCCATGTTCAGGGCTTATATGGGATGCAACTGATTGATGTTTCTAACACATTCTCATCTTTCTCTCAAAACAATAAAAAGGAAGGAAAAAAATGAAGGGAACCATTCAAATATATGGTAGGCATGAGTGAACCTCAACTAAATGATGAGAAGGGTAAGAAATTAAGATAAAAAAATAAATGTATGTGCCATATGATTCCATATATAAAATTTTACAATAGGCCCTGGCTACTGTGGTTCAGTGGATTGAATACTGGCCTGCAAACCAAAGGGTCGCAGGTTCAATTCCTAGTCAGGGCACATGCCTGGGTTGTAGGCTGGGTCCCCAGTAGTGGATGGCCAAGAGGCAACCACACATTCATGTTTTACTCCCTCTCTTCCCCTCTCTCTAACGTAAATAAAAAGAAGAAAAAAAAATTATAGAAAAAGCAAACTAAACCCAATGGTTGCTGGAGTTTGCAACCATTAAAGAAATTAAAGAAAAATTGTATGAGCTAAATTAAAGAAAACTGTATGAGCTAATGGACATATGTGCATCATGACAATGATTTCTCAGATGGATACAAATGTCAAAAATGGGTCAAATCATAAGCTTTAACTATATGCAGTTAATTGTAGGTCAGGTAAACCACCAGAAAAGCTGGTAAAGAAATGGGAATATACACTAATTGTGAACGTGTTTTTACTGAACCATAGTGTTAGGGACATCTCTGTGTGTCCGTGAGTACTAAGAGTACTCATCTTTGAAGCCCTAGCTGGCATAGCTCAATGCTTTGAGTGCGGGCTGTGAACCAAAAGCATTGCAGGTTCGATTCCCAGTCAGGGCACATGCCTGGGTTGCAGGCAATGGACCCCAGCAACTGCATATTGATGTTCTCTCTCTCTCTCTCTTTTTCCCTCCCTTCCCTCCCTAAAAATAAATAAATAAAATCTTTAAAAAATATAAAATGTATTAAAAAAAAGTACTCATCTTTGAAGACCTCTGTCATTCCCAACATTATCATACACCTTCATTTGTTCAACAATCTTATACTGGGCATCTAGGGCATTTCTCTGGAATTTTCTTCCTATAAAATCTTGGCACACTTACAGGAGATTTTTTTAAGGAAATATTTCACCAATGGAATTACTTGAATTTGGTTCAGAACACACTGTCTTTCCAAAGAGCTGTCCTAACAGCACGCATCTAAAATAAGCAGTCCCTTTCTCTGTACCCTCATAATACAGGAAGATATTACTTCTTTTTTTATACCACAGCTGAGGACAGTCTTACACAGGGAGGAAGGGGGTGGGGAGGGACAGGGGAAAGAGTGAAAGAGAAAGAAACATTCATCAGGGTGAGAAATGTCGATTGGTTTTCCTCCTGGATATGTACCATTGGGGATAAAATTCATAACCCAGGTATGTATCCTGACATGGAATCGAACCCACATCCTTATAGGTTGGGAAATGCTCCAAACAACTGAGCCACACCTGGGCAGGGTCACTATTCTTTTCATACCAGTGTACCTCATAGGTAAAAATGGTATTTCTGTAAGTCAATTGGTACTTCTTTGATGATTAGTACGGTTCAAAAATCTTTGTAAAGTGTAACTCCATGCATTTGTATATCTGAGAACTGAATGCTAATAAGCGGGATCCATCTCTATCATTCATTTGGTGCTTTTCTCATTTATGTGTAGCAGTTCTTTATATACTTATAATCCTCTGGCTGTTATATATGTGCTAAGTACTCTTTCCCACTTCGTTATCTATCAACTTTATTTTTATCTTCCAGTAATCTGAACATCCTATGTGTTGGATCTGTCCACCTTTTCTATTTCTGTGTCATCCTGAAGTAACAGGCACATGGTGAGTAACACAGGGAAGCTGTCCCCTTACCCAGCGAGACCAGGTTCCAGTAGGTCTCCATCATCACATCCCTGTACAGGTCCTTCTGTGCAGGCTTCAGCTGCTGCCACTCCTCCTGGGTGAAGTCCACAATCACATCCCTGAATGCCACTGACCCCTGTAAGAGGAAGCGCACACCACTCATCACACTCAGGAGATGCAGCCAGGTGGGCTGGGCAGATCAGGAAGGCACAGAGAATGCACCTGATGTGGGGTCGAGAAGGTGTGGAGCTCTGAAGGCTCTAAGGACTCAGTGTGCTTAGAGCCTAAGTACACTGGGTGGACCATAAACAGACAAATAAACTGTGGCTCTGTTCACAGGAAGGCAAACAACACAATTCAAAAATGGGGACAAAAAACATGAACAGACATATCACCAAATAGGACATACAGATGGCCAATATACAAAAGAAAAAATGCTCAACGTCATTCATCATCAGAGAGCTGCAAACTAAAACCACAATGACAATGACCTCACACAGGTGAGAAGGAAATCCCCTCTATGGAACCTCAACTGTCAATAACAACATAACAGGGGCCTGAGCAGTAGCAGCTCTCAGGGGTGTCTCGGAAATCAGAAGGGGTGATCTCAGGTTAGGTTCATGGAGGAGGATTCTGGGTGGAACTGGTGGGTCAAGACCTGAGGCTTAAACAACACACTGGAGCACTGAGGACACTGATGTCAAAATAGCCAAACAACAAAGTTACTAGTGAAAATGAAAAATGTGTCTTTTACTGTACAGAAAAAATATAACAGACTTATTTGTCAACCCAGTAACTATAACCTACTGAAATTACCATCGAGGTCACAAACTCATCCACCACGTCCCACAGTTCCCTCCTGTCCCCCTTTATTATTGCACTTATTTCAATTTAATTTTTTAAATAGAACTCCTTATGAAAATCTTTCCTTAGTCTCCCTGCCTGAATGGACTCACTCAATGAATTTTTTACTGAGCAGCCTCCAGGCACTGAGCCCAGATGGGAGAGACTGAAAGCCTGAGTCTGTCCTGGGCATCTGGGTGCCCACACTCTACAGTAAAAGTGTGGGAAGTGAGCCCTGGCTGGTGTGGCTCAGTGAATTGACTGCAAGCCTGTGAAACAAAGGGTCAGTGGTTCGATTCCCAGTCAGGGCTAATGCCTAGGTTGTGATCCAGATCTGCAATTGGGGGTGCCTAAGAGGCAACCACAGATTGACGATTCTCTCCCTCTCTTTCTCCCTCCCTTCCCCTCTCTCTAAAAACAAATAAATAAAATATTTTTTTAAAAGTGTGGGAGGTGAGACACAGGGCCTCTCTCCCAAAGAGTTGGGAGATTCCCCTGAAATAGGAATTGAACTAAAGCCCTCTGAGTGCGCTCTGGGTACATGACTGAGGCCGCTCATTCCAGGGCTCCATCTGTTTTGGAATCCTGTGTAATGGCAGAAACCACTTTGCCACAAGAAAAACTTCACCCAGTTCCAATGAGCTGAAATCAGGCTCTATTTTGTTTTCAATCCTCAGTTAAGGATATATATATATTGATTTTATTTATTTTTCTTTTTTATGTACTTTATTGATTATGCTATTATAGTTTTTCCACCTTCCTGCCTTTATTCCCCTCCACCCTGCAAACCCCCTCCCACCTGCATTCCCTCCTTTTAGTTCATGTCCATGGGTCGTACATATAAGTTCTTTGGCTTCCACATTTCCTATACTATTCTTAACCTCCTCCTATTTTCTATCTACCATTTAGGCTACTTATTCTCTGTACCTTTTCCCCTTCTCTCCCTCTCCTACTCCCCCACTGATGACCTTCCATGTGATCTTTATTTCTGTGATTCTGTTCCTGTTCTGCTTGTTTGCTTAGTTTGCTTTTGTTTGTTTCTTTTTTATGTTTGGTAATAGTTGTGAGTTTGTTGTCATTTTACTGTTCATATTTTGATCTTTTTTTACATAAGTCCCTTTAACATTTCATATAATACGGGCGGGGTGGTGATGAACTCCTTCAACTTGACCTTATCTGAGAAGCACTTTATCTACTCTTCTATTATAAATGACAGCTTTGGTGGATAGAGTAATCTTGGATGTAGGTCCTTGCCTTTCATGACTTCAAATACTTGTTTCCAGCCCCTTCTTGTCTACAAGGTTTCTTTTGAGAAGTCAGCTGATTGTCTTATGGGAACTCCTTTGAAGGTTACTGTCTCCTGTTCTCTTGCTGCTTTTAAGATTCCTTATCTTTAATCTAGGCTAATGTAATTATGATGTGTCTTGGTGTGTTCCTCCTTGGGTCCAACTTCTTTTTGACTCTCTAAGCTTCCTGGACTTCCTAGAAGTCTTCCTTTGCCAGATTGGGGAATTTCTCCTCCATTACTTTTTCAAGTAAGTCTTCAATTTATTGGTCTTCCTCTTCTCCTTCTGGCAGCCCTCTGATTCAGATGTTGGAACGTTTAAAGATGTCCTGGAGGTCCTAGGCCTCTCCTCATTTTTTGAATTCTCATTTCTTCATTCTGTTCTGGTTGAATGTTTCTTCCTTCTGCTCCAAACCATTGATTTGAGTCCTGGTTTCCTTCCCATCACTGTTGGTTCCCTGTAGATTTTTGCTTCATTGCTGCCTGGGTCTTTTTTATGCTATTGAAGTAACCAGTGAGTTCCTGGAGCATCCTGATAACCAGAATTTGAATTGTGCATCTGATAGGATGGGTATCTCTTCGTTGCTTAGTTGTATTTTTTCTGCAGCTTTGAACTGTTCTTTCATTTCAGCTATTTTTTTTTTATGTTTTGTCTTGGCGCACCTGTTAGGTAGTAGGGGGCCAAGCCTTAGGTGTTCATCAGGGTGTGGAAACCCACATAGCTGGGTTGTGATGCTGTATGTGGGGGAGAGGTCCAAGAGGGAACAGTGCCACTTGCTCTACTCTCTACCAGTTTCTAGTCACTTCCCTGGCTACCCACAATCAAACTGGGCCCTTCTGGCGCCGATTCCTAGGTGGGTCGTTTGTGTAGGTTCTAGGACCCTGTGGGTCTCTCCCATGAGCTCTCCTATGAGGCTGGGAGTTTCTCCCACTGCCACCTCAACCCCCACAGGTGTTTTCAATCAGAGGTTATTTCCCTGCGAGGGAACCCTGGTTGTGTGATCTATCTCACTCTCCAGTTGTTCCTCCTGGTTTATCTGCACATGAATGTGGGACTGCCCAGTCTGCAAGCCACCATCTCACCTGGTTTGCCAGCCACCCCCTTGCCTGCCCCAGTCCTCGAGCTCCTGCCTTGTGGTGAGTCCTCTTCACCCAGCTGTCTGTCTCAGCCCCTCCTACCAGTCTGGATGAATGTTTCTCCTTTAACTCCTTGGTTGTTGGACCTCCATACAGGTCGATTTTCTGTAAGTCTGGTTGTTTTTTGTTTTAAGTTTGTTGTTGCCCTTCTTTTGGTTGTGTGAGGAGGCATAGTGTGTCTACCTACACCTCCATCTTGGCCAGAAGTCTACATATTGATTTTAGAGGTAACGGAAGGCAGGGTCAGAGAGAGAGACAGAGACATCGATATGTTCCCATCATGCATGTGCCCTGACCAGGGATCGAATAATCCACAATGTTTTGGTATTTGGGATGATGCCATAACCAATTGGGACACCCAGCCAGGGCAGGCTCTGTTATTTAGAAAAATGAGAATGCAATTACACTAACAGACATTAAGACATTAAGAAAGAGAACTTCAGCTCTCCCTGGTGTCGCTTGGTGGCTTTAGCACAGGTTGCAAACTGAAGGGTTACTGGTTCAATTCCCAGCCAAGGCACATGCCTGGGTTGTGGGACAGGTGCCCACTGGGGGCCTTATCAGGCGCAACCACACATTGATGTTTCTCTCCCTTTATTTCTCCCTCCCTTTCCCTCTCTCTAAAAATAAATAAAATCTTTAAAAAAAAAGAAAGAAAGAAAAAAAGAAATTGAATCTCCAAGAGCCAACAACAGGGAATTAACAACCATCCACAAATTCTAAACAAAGTTGGTTAAAGGGAACCAAGGCAATGGTTACAGAGAATGTAAAAGTGGAGATATCATGGTGCAGCCACACTGGAAAACAGGAGGATTGTTCCTTAAATGGTTAAATATACTGATATCAAAGGACCCATTATTGCCTCTCCTACAGTCAAAGGAAATGAGATCCAACAAAAAATGTGCACAAATGTTCACAGAAGCATGAGAAATAACACCCAGTAAGGGGAACCAACCCAAATGTTACCCTTGATAAGTGCATACAACAGGGTCTACCTGCACAATGGCATAGTATGCAGCCATTGAAGAGCACACCTACTACAACACAGATGTACATCAAACACATGCTGGTCAGTGAGAGCAGCAAGACACAAAAACGCACATGTTATGTGATTCCACTTATAGAAATGTGCAGCCCTGACTGGGCAACTCAGCTGGTTGCATGCAGTGTTGTGTGTACAACCAAAGGTTAAGGGTGTGGTCCTAGTTGGGGCGCATATGGGAGGCAACTGATCAATGATTTACTCAGATTGATGTCTCTTTCCTACTGTATCCTCCATTCCCTTCTCTCGAGAAATAAACAAAATCTCAATAAAATAAAAGCAAAGTTGCCCACTATAAACAGCTAAAAATATTCCTAGAAATCAAGCCTCACAGTCCCAGCTGGTGTGGCTCGGTGCATTGAGCACCTGCTTGCAAACCAAAAGGTTGCCGGCTCATTTTCCAGTCAGGGCATATGCCTCAGCTGTGTGCCAGATCCCCATTTGGGGATGTGCAAGAGGCAAGCACACATTGACATTTCTCTACCTCCCATTCTCTAAAAATAAAACAAATGAATGTTTAAAATAACACCAAAATCATAAAAAGCTGTAACTGTTGTCACTCAGTGGATTGAGAACCAGCCTAAAATTGAAAGGTGTCCTGTTTATTCCCACTCAGTGCACATGAGTGGGCAGTGGGCAGGTACCAAATTGGGCTGCTGCTACCGAAGACCCAGGAATATTTATCTCGCACTTGGATGTTTCTCTCCCTATTTTTCTCCCTCCCTCTCCTCTCTCTGAAAAATAACAAAAACCTTAGCACAGTTTCTTCACTTTTGTAATTTATAAAATGAAAAACTGAAACATACAAAATGCAGGGCAAGTATTGATGCCCAGCCCTGGCTAAGTGGCTCAGTTGGTTGGAACTCTGTGCTAGACAGCAAATAGTTGAGGGATCTATACCAGCTTGGAGCACATGTGCGAGGCAACTGATTGAAATTTCTCTCTCACATCTGTGTCTCTCCCCACCTGCACTCTTCCTGTCTCCCTAAAACTGAACCAACATTCTCCTGTTGATTAAAAAACGATTTACCCCCACGTGTGTGTGTGTGTGTACACGAAAGGGTGGCTGGTTTTATTCCCAGCCTGGGGCACATGCTGTGTTGCAGGCCAAATCCCCAGTAGGGGGCATGCAAGAGACAACCCTACATTGATGTTTCTCTCCTTCTCTTTCTCCCTCCCTTCCCCTTTCTAAAAGTAAATAAAAATAAAATCTTTAGAAACAAAAAAAAATACTGATTTGATAGACAGAAGGAAAGAGATGTTGTTCCACTTATTGATGAATTCACTGGTTGCTCCTAGAAAGTATCCTGACCAGGGATCAAACCTACAATCTTGGCATACGAAGATGAACCTCTAACCAACTGAGCTAAATCTGTACACTTTTTTTGTGTTTTTTTAAAAGATTTTATTTATTTATTTTTAGAGAGAGAGGACAGGAGGGAGAAAGACAGGGGGAGAAACATCAATGTGTGTGTGCCTCTCATATGACCCTACTGGGGATGTGGCCCCCAACTGAGGCATGTACCCTGACTGGGAGTCGAAATGGTGCCCCTTTGGTCCGGAGTCTGCACCCAATCCACTGAGCAACATCAGCCAGGGCTAAATCTGTACATTTTTTATTGTCAAATGTTTCTTCCACAGAAGGAAATTTAGAGAAAAATACCACAACTAGACACCCACTAAAACATCATGAGGACAGTCTGCAACATTCACCACTTGTTGGGACCCACCCAGCAGGTTTTAGAAGCTGTGACTTCCCAGGGTAAGGCTGAGTAAGAGATCTTGGGACCATAAGCCACCAAGGAGACAAAGCTTATCTTCCTGGTAGGGGCGTCGCCTCTACCTCCTTTTACTTCAGCCTCCTTGGCCCTGGGCAGATGACTGGTTAGCCAGTGCTGGGTAAGATTCCTCAAGGGAGGGATGACCTAAGACAGGCATGGTCATGAAGAGGCCCTCAGGGAAGGACTTGGGGGCTATGGAAAAAGGGGGTAATGGACCTTTACCCCTTGGCTTTGACATAGCCTGAGTTCTCATTCTGTCTGCAAGAAGACTCCTAATCTCTTGGCTGCCTTACTCCCCCACCTGACTTAAGCCTCAAACAATGCTGAGGAGGAACTGGTGGTTCCCCCTGCCAGGGGAAATAAGGCCTAAGAAAAAATGCATAAAATCCTGTGAAAACTGCTTTGCTGAGAGGTCCTCAATTTTCTGATAAGGGTCCAAGTGTAAAATGAGTTTCTTTCCCAAAGTTTTATAGCACTTTAGCTAATAGTCCCTGACTCAGAATAGGCCCTCAGTTTTTTGTATGTTACCTATTGTTTGATCATTACTGCCTGACAATGACTGATGAGCTTTACCTATATTCCTGTGCAAACTGAACCCAGTAAAAACCAGTTGAGGAACAGGCTCCTGGCCCTTCTTCTTTGAGAGATCAGCCACCTTCCTCCCCAGGCAGAGCATGTCTTGGTAGACTTATTCTTAACTGTGGAGGCCAGGGCAGGGTGGGGGATGCTCGGCAGGAGTTGGAAGGGTGGAGCCTGCCCCCACCCCCATATCAACTCCCACACTACAGGGGTCCTCCTCCCCACCTGCTCCAGTGCCCGGGCATTTAGTGCCCTCTGCCTACTTCTCAAGGTGCCTCATTGAGCACTTCCTGCCAGAGGCCTCTGTCACTCTTAATTAAGTATGTTGAAGCTGCCACATCCCAAGTACCCACAGGTGTCTCCTGAGATCCCTCAGGGTAGGACAGCTCACTCCTGAGCCATTCTGTCCCCTAAAGTTGAAAAATGCCAAGGTGAGGACATTACTATCTCAAGTCAGGGTGGACAAAACCCCAGGAGATGGGAAGAGAAGCCTGCAGCCTGATGGGATTTGCGGGAACCAAGGCTCATCCCTGTCCAGAAGTATAACCCTCACGAAGGAGGGGTCAGAGGGTGACATGACTCACCAGGGACTCCTTGGTTGGCACATGGGTGACCATCCTTCCAGTGCCTAGGGTGACCTGGACATGGCAGGCTGTGCACAGGGAGAGAGAGGAAAAGGCACAGTGAGAGATCAGGTGGGGGTTTGACCCACAATGCAGATATGACAGACACACACACTGCCAAGACAAGCAGACAAAAAAAGCCACACACATTAATAGGGAATGCATGCAGGGGGCCTATGGCATCCAAGGTCCTCAACCAACATCCCTGATTTAATCCTCCTGACACCCTGCATTGTTGGGGTTATTTTCACTCACCCCATTCCATAGATCAGGAAACTGAGGCCCAAAAAGGTAAGCTGTGTACCCAAAAAGATAAGGGTGGGATTAGGGTTGGGCTGAGTACATCAGGGTCCATATGCTTGGTGCACATGTCATACCCACACACATACTCTCCCCCAAGGCACACACCTGTGTACACACCCAATGCAATAGCCTATAGAGGGGAAAGGGATCCACTGTCCTCTATACCCTGGTCCTATGTCTGACTTACCCAGCAGGCACAGTGGGCCCAGGGCAGCTTACACCACTAGGAGACCTTGAAAATATCATCATTTCTTTTGATAAATTAAGAGAAAATGCAAATCTAATCCAGCCTGGACTATCTTTGTCCTTTTAGCAATGCAAACACTACTCCAAGTTTACTTTATTTAAAAGGAGGCCAGGAAGGCACAGTGGCCCTGGAAATAGCATGTGCATGTGGCTAGTGACCACTGAACCCAGAGTGGCCCTAGATATGTGGCTGCAGAGCCAGGGGTGGCAGCTGCTCCAGCTTCTCCTCTTCTGTCCTAGCTTTCTGACATTTCCTGCCATACATTGTTTCTTAGGGGAAATAAGAATTTCCTAGTGTGGTGTGTTTAGGGTGGTGGCTCTGGTACCTGGATGCCTAGGTGTGGAGTTGGGTGATTCACTTACAGTCTCTAAGCCTCAGTTTCCCCATCTGCAAAATGGGGATGGTCAGGGTCCCTACATAGAGTCACCGGGAGGCCTGTATAATGCCCAGAACGATACCCTGAGCACCCAACACACACTCCCTGAACAAATCCACCCCCGTCGGCATTGAGTAGGGTCTCTGAGCCTCTTTCTTGACCTCACACCTGGCTTCCACACACATCCTGCCCTCCCAGGGCCAGGGGAAGCTCTGAGGAAGGAAATGGCTCTGGGTCCCGCAGGGAGGCAGCTCTGCCAGGCCCACCTGTCCAGCAGGGCCGCCTTCTCCACGGTCTAGGTAGGGCACCCATGACGTTCGCGCACACACACGTCAGCCATGCCCAAAGTCAGAGGCCCTGGTACATATAGACATGGAAAGGCTCGGAGGGGAAAGGCTCGGACAGAACAGGTGCACCCCCACACGCACAGACACATCAGAAACACAGGCAGGCGCAGAGGAAGAGACCAGACACAGGGGGACACCTGGATGGCGCCCTCACGGGGAGACACCGCTGATGGAAAACAAAGGCTGACATGCACACAGATGTGGACACTGAGGGCCATAGAGCGGCCAAGACAGGCAGCCAACACACGAACGATCCAAGGAGAAAAACTCTAGCCTCCCGGACACACGCGGTGTTACACAAAGAGACACAAAGAGACCTCCCGGGAATCTCAGTAGGTTAAGTGAAACACAGAAACACACACAGCCACACGCATCACCTGCAACCCCACGCCCAGATCCATACCCAATATCCTCACGCCTCAGACTGGGCCCCACAAAGAGCACACGGCTACCTCTAGAAAGCGACTTGCGACAGCTAGAGTACACTGATAGTACTGCGCCTGCGCGGGTTGGCCTACTACACTTCCCATAACCCCGCGCGCGCCGAAGTGACATCCTCACCTGGCTCCCCTCTTAGTGAGCGGCACCTGAGGGGGCGGTCTAGAGGCTCTTTGTCCCAGAAGCCCCAACGGCGCAAGGGCAAGAAGGCGGTGTTCGGGAGAGATCCGTGGTGTCAGAGACAATAAACCCCAGTGGATCGGGAAACGTAAGAAAAAGTATGGGGCAGGATGCGGTCAAGGAGGAGCAGGGTGTGGAGGGAGTGGGTGGGACGAAAGCGAGACAGGGGTGCGTTTTGGTACGCCGGAGGAACAGGGAACTTAGCGTGCTGGAGAGATGAGAGGGAAACAGGAAAGTAAGGGCGTGTGTGCAGGCAGTAAAGGACGCTGTAGCCCCTCCACAGACCTCCAGCATCCAACGAGGGGTACTGATAGTTGTGCTGATTTGCAGAAAATTTGTAGCCTTGGCTGGTGTGGTTCAGTGCATAGTCTGCTGGCCTGCGAACGGAAGGGTCACTGGTTGATTCCCAGTCAGGGCACATCCCCACGTTATGGGTTGCGAGGCACGTGAAAGGCAACCACACATTGATATTTCTCTCCCTGTCTTCTTCCCTTCCCGTTTCTAAAAAGAAAAACTGTAAAGCGTACAGACGCTCCCAGATATGCAAGGGAATGGACCTTTCTTACCCTGCCTTGCCTATATAGGAACGTCCAATAAACGTCCCGCGTGTGGGAAGGGTATGGCGTACCCACGAGCAATAGTTTCTTCCCTCCACCACCTTCTTCCATGTGGCCATTCTAACATTTGCAATGCTCCTGGTCATCTTGCCCTGGTCCCATCTCCAACCAGGTATCAGTAAGCCAGGTATCGGTAAGGAATGAGGACTTTTCCCCTATCACTTACCTTCCTACCTGGGCCTATGTGGGCCTGTTCAGTTCAATACTTCATCCTGAAGCCCTGTTTCCTGGGGAGGGTATCTGCCTCCAGCATAAGATGTTCCACGTGAAAAAAGGCAGAGGCTCTATTATTAAAGCAATGCCACTGCTCTTGTAGCCTCACCATTGCCCAGGGCACAAAGATTGAGGACTCAGGTTATGACAAAGCCAAGAGGTGAAGGTCTTTCTGCCCCTTCTCTATAGATCCCTAAGTCCTTCCCTCATGGTCCATCTCAACTGTGCGTCTTCTTCTTCGGTTGCCCCTCCCCTTTTGAGGGGTCTTACAGGTCATTGGCTAACTAGCTATCAGCTCAGGCCAAGCAGGGGTGAGGGAGATACCGGCTGCGCTCTGGCCAGGAGGAAATGTTCTGTCTCCTTACTGGCTCATGTCCCCAAGTCCTTTTCACTCAGCCCTACCTGTGCAACCTTTTTGTCCATTAAGGAGGTACAGTCCCTGAAACCAGGCAGGATGGTTCCCAACAAACCGTATGTGTACCTTTTGCATGATGATTGTTTAAAATAACATTGGTTTCCCTTAATGTAGTTCTATTTAAAAAAAAAAAAATTAACAGACCCCTATGAGAAACTATGGTGTCTGACGCAATTAGTTCCCGTGCCAAAAAAATTTTTTCTTCCCTTCATAAAATACCCGGCACCTTCTGTTGCAGGAAACCTGGGGGCGGGGAGTGGGGCAAACAAGGACACCCAAAGATGTGACAACCTGACCTCTAGACAAGATCCAGGCATGTGTCACAAAGTGACGATGCCCCCATGGAGCCCACCTCCACATCTTCCCTTCTCTTTTCTCCTATCCATCCTCCACTTTACTACCTAAGAGACAGAGACCAGAGACACTGAATGTACTGTCCAAACTCCTACAAGTTTATTGGATCCAGGTCTGGAGCCACAGGACCCCTAGCCTCATTACCAGATATTAGAGCTGTATGGGGCTTACTTTGCACCTGCGGATGCTGGGGAAGCATATGGTGAGAATGCCTCAGTGTGTCCTCAACACCCATATTTCTAAGACAGGTCTGATCAGGACTTCTCCTGCTTTCTACCTGTGGGCTTCAATATCAAGTCTGGTGCTGGCCCATGAGCTCAGGACCTACCAGTCAGGTGTGAATTCTAAAATCCCCCAATTCCCTGCTATGTGTCACGTGAGGTAGAAATTCCTGCTGAAGGTTTTCCTGCACTTGCCACTCTGGTAGGGCTTGTCTCCCACAGAAACCACTTGGTGGATGGGGAACAAAAGGTTCCTGATGAAGGTTTTGCCACAATTCTCCAAGGTGGGGCTAGTCAGATGATTCTGTAAGGATAAGCATGTCATGAAGTCCTTCTGGCAGATGGAGCACTGGCAGGGGGCTCCCCAGTGGGCACTGGTCTGTGCTTCCTGAATGAGGAGTTCTTGCTAAAGTCTGTACTAGCCTAAAATCTATGCCTTCTCTTTAGGGGGCACCCCCGCTTTTTAAGGTTTTTAAATTTTTTATTTATTTTTGAAGAGGGAGAGAAACATCAGTATGTGGTTGCTTCTTGAGCGTCCCCTATTGGGGACCTGGCCCGAACCCAGAAACATCCCCTAACTGGGAAATGAACCAGAGACCCTTTGATTCACAGTCCAGCTCTCAATCCACAAAGCCATACCAGCCAGAGATGAAATCTGCATTCTTTGATGCTCAGTGAGGTTCCTGTTCTGCTGAAGACCTTGCCACAATCCCTGCATATGTATACCTCCTACCAGGTATGCATCTTGTGATGCTCGATGAAGCACCTATTCTCTCTGAAGGCCTGACTGGAGTCCTTGCCCACATACGGCATCTGCCAATTGTGCATCCTCTGATGCTCAACAAGGTTCTTGTTCACTCTGAAGGACCAGCCGCAGTCCCCACACACCTATGGTGTCTACCCTCTGTGTGGCCTTTTATGCACAAGCAGGCTAGATTTCAAGCTGAATGCTTTTCCAGTCACCACACACATAAGGCTTTTCCCTAATATGCATCATCTGATGCACATTGAGACTACATTAGTGGATGAAGTCTTTGCCAGTCCCCACACGAGTGCAGCTTCTCTGCAGTGTGTGTCTTCTCATGGTGGATGAGGCACCTTTTTTTCCTGAAGGCCTTGCCATTACTTCCAGCACTTATATGGCTTTTTCTGGCTGTGTGTCCTGTGGTGTCCATATTTTCTGAAGGCCTTCCCACAGTCCTCACACACCTATGGCTTCTCCCCAGTGTGCGTCTTCTGATGCTCCATGCGGCGCCTATTCTCACTATAGGCCTTCCCACAGTACTCACACGCGTATGGCTTCTCCCCGGTGTGCGTCCTTGAATGCACACGGAGGCTGCATTTCTGGCTGAAGGCCTTGCCACACTCCCCACACATGAATGGCTTCTCTCCGGTGTGAATCCTTTCATGCACAAGGAGGCTGCATTTCTGGCTGAAGGCCTTGCCACAGTAACTGCACCCATATGGCTTCTCCCCAGTGTGTGTTCTCTGGTGTAGGAAGATGTTACCCTTATGCCTGAAGGCCTTGCCACAGTGACCACAGACATATGGCCTCTCTCCGGTGTGTGTTCTCTGATGCACAATGAAGTCACATTTCTGGCTAAATGCTTTGCCACAATCCATGCACAAGTGCAGCTTCTCGCCGGTGTGCATCCTCTGATGCTCCATGAGACGCCTATTCTGTCTGAAAGCCTGGCCACACTCCCCGCACATATAAGGCTTCTCCCCTGTGTGTGTCCTCTGATGGACAATGAGACTCCATTTGTGGATGAAGGCTTTGCCACAGTCCCCGCAGGTGTGCAACTTCTCCCTGGTATGTATCCTCTGATGCTCGATGAGGTGCCTATTGTCTCTGTATGCCTTGCCACAATCCCCGCACACGTAAGGCTTCTCCCCAGTGTGTGTTCTCTGATGCACATCAAGGGCTGATTTCCGGCTGAAGGCTTTGCCACAGTCCCTGCACACAAATGGCTTCTCCCCGGTGTGTGTCCTCTGGTGTAGGATGATCCTGTCCTTCCGGCTGAAGGCCTTACCGCACTCCCCACACACATATGGCTTCTCCAAGGAATAGTTTCTTAGGTGCTTCCACAGGGATGACTTTGAACTGAAAGTCTTACTACAGTGTGTGCACTTGTATGTCTTCTTCTCTGCACAAAGTTGTGGGGGAGGACTGGGGCTTGAAGTACCTGAGTTCTTCCCACACATGCTAAAACAGTGCATCCCTGGCCCTCTTGGTCCTTCCAATCTTGATGGGGCCAGCAGGAGGCTCTGGTGGATGAATGTCTTAAATTCATAATACTTAGGAGCTAACACTTGGGACATGTCCAAAGGCCCTACACAGGTCCCTGTGCTTCCATGTTGCTGCCCCACCTTGTCACCCTTTATCTCCACTTTTTCACAGGAGTAACCCTGGGCTCCATTCTTCATGAGTCCTTCCACAACCGTCGCAATGGAGAGTCTGTTTTCCCAAGATTCCTTCTCTGGGTCCAATTCATTCATGTTCCATTCAGTCTCCAAGTCTGAGGGGAGGGGGAAAGAGATGAGGACACACATGTAGTTAACCACACTGGGAGGGAGGATCTTCCCAAGACATGACAAGGCACATCCTGACAGCAAAGGACAGCCTGTAGTGGGTACACAGGAAGTAGGGAAGCTGTGAAGAGAGAAAGTGGGTTATAAGGATGTGAAAACAGAGCAGTGGATTCAAACATGGCCTACATAGCTCAGACCTGGAGGAAAAGACAGAGAAGAGAACAAGGGAAAAAACGGGCAAGGAAGAGCACATCAAATGATTCCACACACCCAAGGAAGATTCACTGCACCCAGCTCCTTGCTTCCAAGCCTCGTGCACATCCCCAGACAGCTATGCTTCTTAAAGCATCACCTGTTATTACTAATGATACAGTAAGAGCTAATTCTCATGTTGTTGTGCTGGTTGTCTTCTGTCTCCCCATGTGCCAGTGAAGCTCCCACATGTTCACACTGCCCATGAGTGCCCTGCCTTTCAGCTGGCTCCTCACCCCTCTGCTTAGTACACCAATCCTTCCCATTAAAGCACTCCCTGGCAACATAAAACCTGAGATTCAGACCCTTCCCTTGAGTCTACAACTGGAAACAATCCTATTGTTCATCATCAAGTGAAAGGATAAACACACGGTGAGCTATCCCAGAAGTAGAATATGACTGCAATAAAAAGAAGTCAGCTCTTGCCCTGAATGCCTAGCCCAGCTGGTTAGAGTTGTCAAGTCCAGCAAAGACTATGAGTTGGATCCAAGTACAGGGCTTGTACAGGAGGGAATGGATTGATCTTTTCACATACTCTCCTTCTGTCTCAATCCAATAAAAAATATAAGGAAAAAAACTGAAGGAAATGATTGGTACACACAGTTCACGTTGAGTAAACCTGAAAGAAATGATGTGAAGTGTAAGAAATGAGATAAAAAATAAAATGTGCCCTATGACTTCATATATATAATATTGTAAAATAGGCAAAATACACAACAGTGGTTGCTGAAGAATGGAGCGTGGGCCAATAGAAAGAATAACTTTTGGGGCTAATGGATGTATCTGCATCACAACCATGATTCCTGGGTGGATACAAATGTTAAAATGCGTCAAATCATTTGCTTTAACTATGTGCAGTTAATAGTAGGTCAGTGAAACCACCAGAAAATCTGTTAACAAAATGGGACTGTACACTAAGTCTGAAAGTTAGTGTTTTTCCTTAAGAATATTATCCAAGAAAGAATATTATCCTTTCTTGTCAGTGAGGACAAAAAGTGCTCATCTTTGAAGAGTTTTCTGATTTCCATCATATTTCTACACTCTGATTTGTTCGTTCAGTGTCTTGGTGAATATATAGGTCATTTCTGTTCCTATGAAAAATCAGGGAAATTTCTATCAAGACGGAGCCATATGTAAACACACTTCACCACACCACTTCACATTATATGTAAACACCCTAACTACACCACAGTTGTATGGGATGGAAGATGGGCAAAAGGAAAGATAAACTATTTGGGCTAATGGACATGTCTGCATCTGTCCACCTTTTTTATTTCTGTGTCATCCTAAGGTGACAGGCACATGGTGAGTAACACTGCAAGGCTGTCCCCTTACCCAGCGAGATCAAGTTCCAGTAGACCTCCATCATCACATCCCTGTACAGGTCCTTCTGCTCAGGCTTCAGCTGCTCCCACTCCTCCTGGCTGAAGTCCACAATGACATCCCTGAACGCCACTGATCCCTATAAGAGGAAGCACATACAACTCATTGCAGGGCCCTCCTAACAGTGTTCAAGATAAGTGACCAGAAGGGCTGAGAGGATCAGGAAGGCACACAGGATGCATCTGACTGATGTCAACAAGGTGCAGAGCTCTGAAGGGCCCGACCACTCAGTGTCCTCGGTGCCTAAGTACACTGGATGGTCCTTGGACAGGCAACTAAATAAACTATGGGGCTGTTCAGAGGAAGGCAAACAACACAATTCAAAAATGGGCAAACAACCTGAACGGACACTTCTCCAAAGAGGACATGCAGATGGCCACTATATATACAAAAAAATGTTCAATATCACTTATCATCAGAGAGATGCAAACCAAATCCAAAGCAACATATCTCCTTACACATGTTAGACTAAAACCCCCATATGGACCCTAAACTAGTCAAAACCATCGAGACAGGTGCCTGGGCAGTGGCAACTCTCTGAGGTGTCTGGGAAATGGGAAGGGATGATGTGAGGTTGGGTCCATGGGGGAAGATTCTGGGTGGGACTGCTGGGTCAAAACCTCAAGCTTAAACGACATACTGGAGCACTGAGGAGGCTGTCTCCAAAATATCCAAACCAACAGTTATGTGAAAATGAAAAATGTGTCTTTTACTTTGCAGAAAAGAATGTGATGGAAGTTTTGGCCAACCCAATAAGTATGACCTACTGAAATTACCATCAAGGTCACAAACAGATCCACCACCTCCCAAAGTTTTCTCCTGCCCGCCTTTATTATTGCATTTATTTCATTTTCTGTTTTTAAATACAACTCCTACTGAAAGTTGTACCTATTCCACCCGCTTGAACAAACTCACTCAATGAAATTTATACCCAGCAGGCTCCATGCACCCAGCCCAGGCTGAGACAGACTGAAAACCCGAGTGGCTCCTGGACATCTGGGTGCCCACAATCTACAGCAAAAGTGTGGGAGATGAGACACAGTTCCCCTCATGAGAAGGGTTGGGAGATTCCCCTAGAAATGGGGCTTGCCTCCAAGTGAACTAAAGCCCTCTGAGCGCTCTATTGGTACATGACTGAGGACGCTCATTCCAAGGCTCCATCTGTTTGGGATTCTTGTCTAATGGCAGAAACCTCTTTGCCACACGAAAAAACTCACCCAGTTCCAAAGAGCTGAAATCAGGCTCTACTTTTTTTATTTTAATACTCACTCGAGTACATATATATTGATTTTGGAGGGAGAGGAAAACAGGGTCAGAATGAGAGACAACCACCCGGAAATCATAAACAATGTTGGTTAAAGAGGAAACCAAGGCAAAGATTACAGAGAAGGTCAAAGTGGAGATATCGTGGTGCAACCACATAGGAAAACAGTCAGACTGTTTCTTAAATGGTTAAATATACTGATATTGAAGGACCCACTATTTCCTCTCCTACACTCAAGGGAAATGAGATCAAACAAAAAACTGTACATGACTGTTCACAGCAGCATGACTCATAAAACCAAAAAGTGGAAACAACCCCAACATATACCACCTGATGAATGCATACAACAGGGACTACCTGCTTAATGGCATAGTATACAGCTATGAAATAGGATACCTACCATAACACAGATGTACATTGAAAACATGGTGCTCGGTGAAAGCAGCCAGATACAAAAAAACACATGTTGCGTGATTCCACTTATAGAAATGTGCAGCCGTGACTGGGTAACTCAGCTGAGTGCAGGGTGCACCATTGTGTGAACAACCACAGGTTAAGGGTATGGTCCCAATTAGGGCTCATATGGGAGATAAATGATCGATGTTTTACTCACATCGATGTTTCTTTCCTACTCTTTCTTGCTTCCTTCCCTTCTCACTAAAAATAAATAAATGAAATTAAAATGAAACAAAAATAAATTTCCCACCATAAGCAACAAATGGAGATTTCCTAAAAGTCAAGCCTCACAAGGCTAGCTAGTATGGATCA